GGCTGAACCAAGACCGAGTGTTCTTATTTTTTGACGATTTCAGCCTGAAAACGTTCTTAACATGTTCTTAAGTTAATTAAATGGTATAGAATTTCACAGAAAAAAGATTTGAAGGTGACCATGAAAATGTATTTACGTTTTATGTTATAGAAATTCATGTTGTTACTATAAAAATGTGCATTCAAGTATTTTGAGCTGATATGAACTGCTTATTCGCAGAGATATTTGAAATGTTACATTTTTTTTAATGTTTTGAAAGGATACTCGGGAATATTGTAGTAGAGCTCGATGCAAGAAACAAGTGAATAAGAATGTTCTTAGCTAAGTCTCAACCTGGCTATGTTCTTAGCATGTTCTTAAAATTTTGGTCAATCTCAGCCTCAACGTTCAAATAAAAAATATTCTTATAAAAAGAAAAGAGTGCAACAGGGTAGAAATAACACAGCTCTTATACAATCTTAGCTTAGTTTCCCTAGAGAAGGCACTTGTTCTCCAGACTTATCTCAGCCTGAAAAAGGCCCCTCTTGCTTTGCTCAAACGGTTCTAAACTGCTGAGACACTCTCTAAAATACAAACAAGAGCTCATAAACGCAAAGTAAAAACTGGCACTATTGTTTAGTATTCAATTGACAATATTTGTATGCGATTTCCCATATTTTATTCTTTAACCTATACGGACTTGATCCTGTGGCCGTATTTATCAAAATATCGCCTTTTCCAGGTGTTAATTCAGCCCAGACTTACCTTCTGAAGTAGGAAAGATTGACGTATTGAGGTCTTAAAAGTTTCTTTGAACAACAAAACCCGCGTGCGAGTTGAATCCCGGAACACAGAATAATCGTTTTGTTTTCCCTACGATGTACCGTTATTGATAGTTCCGCATAGCCAGAAATTTCGAACCAAATTAAGCTTGCGTTACTCCGTGCCCAGTCACGCGTGGAAGACACACGATTGGTCAGTTACGTCGCGCCACGTTTTCCAGATCAAGTTGTTGTCACGCGGATTCCTGATGAGAGGCATATTCTTGCTTTCTGTGGTCCACAAAAGAAAGCAATCGACAAAAATCCAATGTGAAACGAAAGTCACCAAATTCAAGAGTACTTAAGCTCGCTTTCACGATCAATTTTACCAGCAGACATGCTTTATTCTGTTAAATTGAGCAAATGTTTTTACTTCGTGACTCAATCGTGACTGCCTTCGACTGCCTTTTGCATAAATTAAATGACAAAACAAGCTACGCTACCAAGCCTTTCTGTGAACCCCAGTCTCTTCTCCTTTTCATTCATGTTTTGGAAAATGGCGGCTGTTTTCGTATGTTGATTTTGTTTTGGTCTTTTTGCTATGAGGCGCGCTGGAGCAAACCGATTTCGTTCAATAATGGCGTCCTTTAGCTTCAATTTTTCCTCGACAAATACTGCAGTAAACCGCAAGATTTCAACGGCTACAAAGTCTTATAATATCATGGAAATACGAAGACACCTTCGAACTTCAAAAACTGTCTGGGGATGAGAGGATAGCTACATCTAGAAAGGCATGGAGAGAGTTCGCATGGAGTGAATTTAGCTTGTTGTCACCTCAGAGGTAAGCAATTGTATGGCCTGTCTTATCGTGTTAGTCCTTAAACTACTTTCTTAAAAACCGCAATGAATATTCGATATATCACGGTTTTGAAACCTCACAGGAGACGACTAAAGTCGTATCTCCCAATATTTAATGGGGATAGATGTCCTTTTTACGCCACGGTTTAGATATATCATGTTTTTATTTCGACTTCATACGAATCTCTGTAAGTTTGGAGCCGCCATTTTCTTTTTAACGGTCACGGACCGTCACGGTTAAATGCTCACGCGCGTTCGGAATTTCTGGCTATGGATGGATTAAAAGGACTTCCAACTCGACAAGCAGTTAGCTGGTTCTTCATGTCTAAAGATAGACTGGCCACAAGTTGAGTGTTTTTAATGAATTACCTCATAAATATCGATGCATAGAATCGAATAGATGATGATCGCGCTACAAAGTATCTTTTATACGTAGAAAACAATAAACAGTGCATTCCGTGTTAGCGACTCAGACCCAAAATACTCGTGTGCAGTGATAAACGTTGATATTTTCTCTGCAATACTTCCTACGAATAATTTTTTAACTCGACAAAGAGTTAGCTGGTTCTTCAGGTCTATAGACTCGCCACGTGATTTTTAAGCAATGTCATCAATAGTAAATACTTCACGCGAACCCTGAAGGCAGGGTGAAGTTCAAAACTTAACCAACTGTTTCTTCAGTCGACTAAACTTTCACGCGTTGCGTTGCGAACGAAACTACGAAAACAAATATAAATTACCTATTTAGTAAAATAAAATAGAAAATGATAGAGAACGAATGAGGCCAACTCACGCGCAAAGAGGCTATGGAGGTTTCAACGCTTAGCCTTGATGTTATTAAAAATTTAGGTATATTTGCATGTCAGTTCAAATTTTGATGGTTAATTAACTGATATCTGGTTAACCCTATCCACATTCTCCCAAAAGTGCAGTGAACTAAAAAAAAAAAGAGTGTTGAAACCATTATGAGTTAACAGGTGGAGAAAATCATTAAATTATTTTACATCCATCGTTATGGAATGAATATTACTGTCAGATTTCTCGCCGACACCCGGCCTGCCGCTGTTTGTGTAATCTTTGCAAGATGCTATTGCTGAGTAAAGCTTAATTTATCTGTGACATAACTCGCCAAACAGGTCTCAAATGAGAGTGTCCTCGAACATTTTTGCCATTGTGTGGAAGACCTAGAGAATGTGAAACCACCCGCTCTCCATATAAAGCCTACGTAAAAACAACCTCTGGTCGGCGGACTTCAAGCCTAAACGTACTGCAAAAAGCTATAGAGGACTGAAACCGAGAACAGTTTGGTTCAATCGCCACTTGCTTGAGCCATAAAGTCTTTCACTTTAAAAAAGGTTTTCCTTCGAAAGATATGTTTCGTGGCTAAACGGGAGACAGTATTTCTTTCCACAACGGCGTGTTTCGGCACAGCAATGTTTAGTCATTTATCTTACACTAAATAGTATTGTTCAATTTTTCGTTTCTCTTTCCTTTTTTTCTCTGCTAAAACGTTACCGTTGTAACCTTAATTCAAGAAAAAAGCAACACGGTATCAATATGAATTAAGATTGAATCGAAAGAGGTTTTCATCGTATATAGTCTTTCTGCAAGACTTGTGAGGATTTACCCTGTGCACAGAGGTGTTTGTTTGTCTCTCTCAATCGAATTTGAGCCGCGAAGTGGCGAAAGCGAGTCGCAAGTCGATCGAGTTCAGTAGAGGAAAGAAGAAAGAAAACCTATGTGCATGGAGAAGTAGGGGTTATGATTCCTGAACTGAATTTGTTTATAGTTTTAGTTTCTGCTTGGAATGGCGTTTGTGCTATGAATTGGAATCAAACCCATGCATGGACATGGCATTCCGTCAATCTCCGTACTTACAGATCTTTGCAATTGGTCTAAAAGTTCGATTTTCTGATTTATTTATTCTTTTTAACACACGGGATTTTTTCTACAGCAGCTAGATAGTGTTTTAATAGCGACTAGCAACGTTAAAAGTGAACATTGACGTGGGTGAAAAACGGATCTGTTTGTGAATCTCAGTCCGTCAGCCAACAGCTGTATACTCAGGCTCCCGTGAACAGTTTAGTTCATCCCTATACAGGCCTTTCCATGCATGCCTGCAGTACTGAAATATATATTTTCCAATATTGTAAGTTGTTTATGCCCAGCGGTGCTAATACTTTTATAAAGAGCCACTAACCTTCCCATACAGTGAAGCGAGAAACGTTGTATCCCCGCGAAATCGATCCCTTTAAGGAACAAACTGCAAGTTGAGTTCGTTCGAGAAACACGACCTCGTGTAAAACAGATGTGTTTAGTATTTTGTCTGCGATAGTTCAACTCGACAAACATTCGGCCGGGGTTCTTCAGATCTAGTAAGATAGACTGGCCACATGTTGAAGTTATCTAATGACTTCATAAATATGTCATCAGGTATCTTTTTTAGACCCACGTTCTTTGGGTAGAAAGCAATAAAAAGTGTCTTCCGTGTTCGATCAACTATAGATAAAAAAAAATCCTCGTGTATAGTTGTTGACTTTAATTTTATATGCGGTAGGTTTATAAAGGCTTCCAGCACGACAAAAAGTTAGCTGGTTTTTCACTATACCTCATAAATATGCCATAGAGTAATGCAATATCGCTACAATCGGGCGCGGATCCACACCGGCTTCCACCGTTTTACGGAAATCTGTCAAATTTTCCAAATGACTCAAAATCGCGGGTAAATGTCATTTTAGCGAGTGAAAATCTAAAACACTTTTTCGGGGGAAATTGCCTCCGGACTTCCATAGATTCGACTCTAGGAAACCGGGCAAGTTTTTTCCTGGATCCGCGCCTGACAATGTATCTTTACGTAGAAATCCGAGTTCGATTCAGATCCATCCGTGTTCGATTCCGTGGCAGACCCAAAATACTCGTGTGTAGTGATTGTCGTTAGTATTTTGTGTGCGACAGTTCCGACGATGGTTTTTACAGGGCTAAGATAAGCCGGACTCGCTTCATCAAAGTGAGTGATTTTTGGCCTAATTAAACTTGCGTATCTCGCCCACAGTAAAATACGCCTTTAGACGCAGCCTCTTTCCCATTGCCCCAATAAAGGGTGCATTAGTGTCAATTCCACATGGAACTTTCCGGGCGATTTCTATGTCAAATATAACTAAACTTCCGTCAAATTGAATTTCTGCTTTATGAATTGTAAACTTATAAAATGTCATGTAGATGATTTTCCGGCTGATCAACTGAATTTGAGGATCGTGGCCGTGAATGGGGAACGTGTAGTTGAGTTTTCATTTCTTCATACATTCGTCTGTAAATTATTCCGTAGACATTGGCGCCATCTTGCTAACAAATAAATTGAAAAACTAAAAATGCGATTAACAGGTTTCCTTAGTGTCATTGGGAGACGCGGTGGCTTAATGGCCGGTTTGCGCGTTGGACTCCGGATCGAGCGGTCCTGGTTCGAGCCCTGGTCTGGGTCATTGTGATGTGTTCTTGGGAAAGATACTACTCCGAAAGTGCATCTCTCCACACAGGTACCGGCGACAAAATGTTGAGGGGTAACCTACTAACCTACGATGGACTAGCATCCATTCCAGGGGGAGTAGCAATACTCCTAGTCGGCTTCATGCCACATGGAGAAACCGGGATAAGCTCCGGCAGTGGTGACCAGTTTGACCCGAGTGCGGCTTTACAAGTTACCTTTATTAAGAGATAGAAAGGATAGTTTACGGCAATTTCGTTCCCAGAGTCCTCGTTACCCTTGTCCAGCGGCTGTAACGGGCAACAAGGACCTCTGGGATAGAGTGATCCGCCTGACCTGCGCAGTAAGACCAGAAGTCCAAAAATATTGGCGTCCGTAAGTTGAAACATGGAGTCGAAACACATGCGCAGTAGAAACGGAAGTCCAAGAATCCTGTCATGGCTGATCGCTTCCAACCAGAGGTCCTTGTTGGCCGCTCAAGCAAGCTCTCTTGAGGGAGAGAGAGAAAGAGAGCTTGCTTGCAGGCTACAATATGAATTTGGATATAAATTGGTTTTGTTATTTGCTGTAACAATTCAACGAATGTTTCACAGAACGAACGTTTCTGAACTGTAGCATTGACCTTAATTAATTCCGGGTTTGAATTATCGCGTGTTTTTTCCCGCTTACCTGCAAACAATAGAGTCCATATGGATTTGACATCATCGGTAAATAAATGTTTTTGAGGTACGTTGGGGAATATTGGTTGAGTTCTTTCTTTACAAGTCAACAGTGGACGGAACCAAAGGCGAGGTTTCACAAACTTTCAAAAAAAATATTATTTTCAGGAAATTACAGTACTTAGTATGCAGCCACCGTCTTGGAAGGCGCACATAATAAAATTGTAGATTTTACCATCAATTATCATCAGCTTTCACTTCAAAGCTCTTTAAATATCACTTCTCAATAATTATCACGTCTGAGAATTTACATTTTGTAAAAATGACTTACAAATATTCGGTTTTGTGGCAGTTCAGAAACACCGTCGTTCATCCGGGACATCACAAATTTCAAAATGCTTTATTTTCATGCAGACTTTGCATAGCCTGCGTCGCAGACAGCCTACATACCGGCTGCAACGCAGGCTAACTTTGCATAGAGATTAATGTTTTGTATATCTAGAATATGTGAAGGGAATAGCTTTGTACAAGAGAGGATGATCTAAGAGAAACACATCCCCATACATGGGCTTCTTCCAATGATAATTTTTTTCAATCTAATTTTAGCGCGTGGTCACACTGCGCGGCTATTTTAAGGAAGACACCTGATTGGTCAGTTGTAATGACGTAATGAAATTTAAGATTTGTCGTCTCTCGATTTACGATTTCAGTAGATGGACGTCAACACGACGGAGAGAAAAACCTTCGCAATGACATCTGATCCTCTGATCATTGGCCGCGCGACTATGGGGACGAGAACTAAAATAACTTTCACAGCGTGGCGCGAAGCTTAAAATTGATTGAAAAAAACTATCATGGGGCATGGGATGTGCTTTGTAGAAAACGTTTAGATTTTAGAATTTTGATGACATCAGATAATGTTTCTATTTATAGAAAAACAGTTTTTTCCTGTTCAATGTTTCATGAAAGGAATCCGTGAGTGGTCCATCTTAGCGGTCTGCTGTATTGCAAAATTCGGACCACTCATGCTCAGGGAACCAATCAGATTGCTTAGGCTTTCATCATGGACCAGTTTGCCATGAATTGTACGGTCTGGACCGGTCTAGAAGTACCCTGGGTGCCAGAGGCTTTTCTTGCGCGGTTTCCGGTTTCAAATCGGAGAAATAAACCTCTGGTAACCAGGGTAGTCTAGAAGTCCACAAATTAGGAATTTTTAAAAAGACACTTCCCGAGAATGAAAATGCTAACTTTTCCATATCAAAAACTGGAAAACTCTTTCCAGAGTAATATTGAAAATACTTCTCTCATAGAAAACCAACACTTCAAATTCCCCAAATTAACACTTTCCGAGATTGGAAAACAACCGTGTGTTTCTAAAAATAGCACTCCTGGGACAGCCCAAGAGAGTATAATACTCTCTCCTCTCGTAAGACAGCCCTAATATATAATGTCCCCGTTTATGCAGACACCCCTAGCCCTCTCACTTGTAATCGTGATGCCTCCCCCTCTCTCTCCCCCCCCCCCCCCCCCCCCCCCCACACCCCCCGGAATCGGAATCAGATCATCCTCGTTCCCAGAGCTCCTCGGTTTTTTTCTTTGCGACGTGGCAAAAGAAACGGAGGAACTGGGAACGAGAATGGAATCAGACAAAACGTCCAGACAAAACAAAATGGCCACCTCCATACAAAACGACGTGGTTGCAGCAGTCGAACATGAAATCAGTTGTCCCATCTGCTTGGACGATTTTGAAGAGCCTAAATGCCTTCCAAGCTGTGCCCATAATGTATGTCAACACTGCCTTGAGGGAATGATGAAGAAAAGTGAGAATGCCATCGAGTGTCCGGTGTGTCGAATCGAGTCAGTCATTCCGAATGGCGGCGTCGCTGCTTTTCCAAAGAACCATCTGCTTGTTCGGTTGATCGAGCGTACCCCGGGACGAAAAGAGAAAGAAGCTATCAAAGAAGCTCTGAAAAGCTGCAAAGGAAAGCTAGAAAGCGCTGAAACCGCTCTGAAAGAAATGGAAGACCGCTTTGCGACTTCCAGAAGCCAAGCTGAAGAGATCAAAGAGAAAGTTAAATCGACGGCAGAAAGTGTTGTCACCAAGGTACGCGAACAAGAAACAAAAATGCTCAGTGAGATCGATCAGAAATTGAGTCAGAATCGCAACGAAGGAACGTTTGAAACGCATAAATCGAACACCACGGAGTTATGCGAAAATGCCTCCAGTTGCATTGGAACTGTGGAAGACATTCTGCAAAATGGTGAACCGAGCGATCTTAAAGATCTCAAAGACGCCTTGATCGAAGAGTTAAAGGAATTTTCCGAGTCCTTGGAATCGCGGATGTTTTGGGCAAACTGTGAATTTACTCAGCCGTTTGATGTTTCACTGACAAACACAGTCTCGGTTGATAAGTTCATCCAGGATAATTGCTTGTTTGGTAACCTTACTATAAACACAGATGCTGCTTCAGCCACTGAGGAGATCCCTGCTGTGGCAGCTTCCATTCTCTCAGGTTGGTGTGTACCTACACCGGTTGTCCAGAAAAGTATAGACTACTCAAAGTGTGGATCTTTGATTCAAACTGTTGACAGCTCTTCTTGTGGGCTAGCAGAATTTGCTCCCTTCTCAGTTGCTTTGTCCAGAAAGTCTGGTCATTTTGTGGCACTAGATGAGGAAACGAAACATGTTCATATCTTTAACGAAGAGGGGGAACCCTTGAAGAGATTTCGCATCATGTATGGTGATTTATGGGATATCGGAGTTTCAAATGAAGACGAGATAGTTGTTTTAAATCGGGAGAGCAACCGTCTTTTACATTATGATATGAATGGGAACTTTAAAAAGAAATTTGTGACTGCTCCTAAAGAAAATGCCAAGTTTACATCTTTAACTGTTGATATCCATGGACGTTTCATCATCTCGTCAAGCCCATGCTATAACCGAAACCCAAGAGGATACCATGCCTTGCATTCTTGTTTACAGTCCATCAGGAAAACTTACATTGTCATTTGGAGATGACAGGCTATCATCACCCGAAAAGGCAACATTTTTGAATGGTAAATTCTTTGTGGTAGATAAAGATAGTAAGAGCATTGTGGTATTCGATAAAAATGGAGATTTTCTTGAAGAAATGAGGGGTCGCTTGGAACATCCATGTAGTATTGCAGCTGATTATACCAATGGAAACCTTGTGGTGAGCGACCGTGGAAATTCCACAGTACAGATTTACAGCCAAGCTGGGCATCTAGTGCATCATTTTAGAACTGAGCACATACCATTGCAAGTGGCATTTACCAAGGATTACAAGAATCTACTGATTTGCTTCCAAATTGATGACAACATAAAGAACATACAGATGCTGACATATTTTTGACATTGTAAGTCCCATACATGTACAGTGTACTGTAGCTACATGTAACTTTCAATCAAATTGTTTGTACTGGTCTCCATTATAGATTTGCAATTGAAGAGTCAAGTCGAAAACCATGCTAAGTGGGCAAATGCGCTTTGCTCACTTAGCATAGTTTTCGACTTGACCCTTCAATTGCGTCAATCAAAATACCTCGCATTCTGATTGGCTGAAGAAGAGACACACTGGAGCTGAGAGAATCAGCATTCTCACATTAAATTACATGTTCTGTACCTGTAATTCTATTAATATTGTTGTTTTTCATGCTTTGATATTTTCATTACATAAATAGAACATAATATCCCATGACTCAGAATTTCATGTTAAATTTCTCTTGAAAAAATCAAGGCTGTGCTCTAATGGCGCCCGGTCGCCTGAGGCGACTAACATTTGCCTTTGGGTGACAAGAAAAACTTACCGAGTCGCCCAGCCGGGCAACCTCTTTTTTCAGTTTCAACTTAGCTATGAAAACAGTCACACAATAAATTTCCTTTCTCTCTTTGTTTTCTTGTGTTGTATTGAAGTTTACAAGGCAAAATAGCTCAATTGTTAAATCCATCGGTGAAGTCAAAATATATTGAGTCCGATCGTTTTCGATGCGTACGATCTAACACGTGCTTTATACTTCATGTAGTGTTCACAAAAACGTCTACTCGATTCTTATGCTTCATGTAGTATACATGAAAAGTCTAATTAAAGAATAAATTATCCAAAGGATAGAAGGAAAAAAAGGCAGTGTTTTTCTATGCATTTCAATCAGTTTATAACTAATGTGTAGTGGTATACTACTATGACAAAGTATTACAAAGAACCAAACTGAATGCCTATCCGGACTTGTTTATAAGGAGGGAGCCCAAAAAATTTTCCGGCCATTTCTTTTCTTTCTTTTATTTTATTTTTGTTTGTGGGTTAATTGATTTTAATTAATT